TAAAAATTCTTCCCAAATATATTGACATATATTTGAAATACTACAATTTTGGTCGTATTCAATATATTTAAATATATATTTCAATCAATAAAATATATATTATATATATATATATATATATATATATATATAACACACTGTATGTTGAAATGCATTTGTATTATAAATTATCTGAAAAATATTTTTAAAATTACATTTTAAAATATAATGTGTTTAATGATACATTTAAACTACATTTTTGGAATGCATTTAGAAATATATGTAAAAATATATGTTAAAATGACTTTTTTATATCTTAAAAAAAAATCTGAAGAATATATTTCAAAAATATATATTTTTAAAAATTTTTTGAAATATATTTTGAAATATATAAAAACCGCATTTCAACATGCAGTATATATATATTTATATATATAATATATATATATATATATATACAGTATTTATATTAATCTACAATTTTTGGAATGCATTTAGAAATATATGTAAAAAATATATGTTAAAAATGACTTTTTTATATGTTAAAAAAAATCTGAAGAATATATTTAAAAAAATAATATAAAATTTTAAAAATATTTTGAAATATATTTTGAAATAATATAAAAAAAAAAAATTCAAATATATATAAGTAAAATAATTTCAATTGAAAATAATGACAGTATATTCTTAGGTTTTAAAAAATAATTATATATATATATATATATTATATATATATAGTATTTATATTACAGTAAATAACTACATTTTTGGAATGCATTTAGAAATATATGTAAAAAATATATGTTAAAATGACTTTTTTATATGTTAAAAAAAATCTGAAGAATATATTTAAAAAATATATATTTTTAAAAATATTTTGAAATATATTTTGAAATATATAAAAACCGCATTTCAAACATGCAGTATATATATATATATATATATATATATATATATATTTATATATATATATATATATATACAGTATTTTTATATATATATATACAGTATTTATAAGTTTTTATATATAATATACATACAGTATATATATATATATATATATATATATATATAATACAGGATAGATAGATAGATAGATAGATAGATAGATAGATAGATAGATAGATTGAAATGTATGGAGTATGGCCCAAACTGTAGTGTATTTAAAATATATGTCAATATATTTGGGAAGAATATTTTTAAAATATAATTAAAAATATATTTTTCTTCCATGTGGGCAGCACCAAGAAGACTAATTATACCGGTACTAAAGAAGGAGAAATATAAATGAAGGAACTTCTGAGCAGTTCAATAATTGGTGGTTATTTTTGCCAAACTTTCTTACAAATTTGCAAAACCTCAGAATTTCCAAAACCTGAAGTCAACGTGAATCCGAAATAGGCTCCAAAAAGTGTGTTCTACAGAGCAGCAAAGATATTATGGAGCCAAATAAGAGCCTGAGCCACTTCTTTGAAAAATTCTGCGGACACTAAAATCGAATGGAATGGTGGTCCTGGTAGCACTGGCAGTCAGGCGAAAGGCAAGGGGAACCCAAGCAAATAGCAGCAGCAGATATATCAAAAAACAGCCTTTGGAGCAGCCTTTGGTCCCTTTCTCCCAGAAGCCATTAAAGAATCTGAACGGCCAAAAATGGCATTAAAATTTGGCTCCTGCTCCAAAATATGGCATTTGGGTGAATCTAAAAAGGTCATCTGGATTTCAAGATCAGCATTAAGGAGGAACTCAGGTCAAAGGCAAGTGAATGGAGGGTTAAGCAGCAAGAGAGTAGAATGGAGAAGGAGATGACTTAGTGATCTCCCTCTTTTCATCGACTCACACAATGGTCAGCGTTATGCCTCGGCGTGCAAAATCATAGCTATGGAAAGTCAAAAAACCCATAAAGGATCAGTGTTCTCAAATCAACAATTTCTACAGTTGGAATTGCTGTCATTCATTCAAAGGCACTTAAACAATTTTCTCGGGGTTATCAATGGTCACTGCACAAAAGGCTCGCTTTTGGCCCTTTTGCTGTGGTCGCTCACTACTCAGAAAAACAGGTACAAGCCTCACCAAGAATGAAGACATGGATTATTAAATTTCACATCTAAAAGGACAGAAACATCCGAAGAATTTAATAATACTTAAAAGCTGTATTTACTATATTAAATATTACGAATTTGAAGTGCAAATGTAAGCAGTTACATGAACAGATTCATCCGTTGTGGACACTGAGCATACTACACATGCCAAAAAAGCTTACAGCAGATCTTCACCTGAAAGGGAAAGTTCCACTTTTCTGCCTCTTCCCTCCATCTTCTCCCATTTATGGAAGCAGTCTTTTTTTTTTTGGGGGGGGGGGGGGAGCAGGTGGCTGGTTTTGACAGGTATCTGCTCCCACTTCTGCTCAGATTATCTAGGCGATCCAAGCAGAAGTTCATCCCCCTTCTTCACCCACGGCCTTCTGGGACATATCACAGGTCCCTAAAAACTGCGGGGACCATTCACAAAGTGCAGCATGGCTTGAGCAAGCGCATACGCAACATGCCAGCGCCAGGGACCTAAAGGCCGGAGAAGAGCCGGCCTGGGTGAGGGAGGCACTGGATCCCTGGTCAGGTAAGTGTCCTTTTATTAAAAGTCAGCAGCTACAGTATTTATAGCTGCTGACTTTTAATTTTTTTGGGGGGAGACTGGAGCTCCTCTTTAAGTGCGCAGAGCATATATATTCGCCCTGTCCCTCTGCTACTCTGTCACTTCTGACCCTGGCAAACCCCGGCCATTCTCGATTCTCAAAATAACAGCTGGACATTTCTGCAGGCGTAAATACTGCTGTGATAAAAATGTTGTACACAACAATAGTCAGAGGGGAGATTGAGAGATACAAAGTAACATTATTTATAAACAAACATTGATCAGATGGGAGATAGAGAGATACAAAGTAACATTGTTTATAAACATTGATCAGATGGGAGATACAAAGTAACATTATTTAAAACAAACATTGATCAGATGGGAGACAGAGAGATACAATGTAAAATTGTTTATAAACATTGTTCAGATGAGAGATACAAAGTAACATTATTTATAAACAAACAATGATCAGATGGGAGATAAAGATATACAACGTAAAACTGTATAAACTTTGATCAGATGGGAGATAGAGAGATACAAAGTAACATTATTTATAAACATTGATCAGATGGGAGATAGAAAGATACAAAGTAACATTGTTTATAAACATTGATCAGATGGGAGATAGATACAATGTAACAGTGTTTATAAACATTGTACAGATGAGAGATAGAGAGATACAAAATAACATTATGTATAAACTTTGATCAGATGGGAGATAGAGAGATACAAAGTAACATTGTTTATAAACATTGATCAGATAGGAGATAGAGAGATACAAATTGTTTATAAACATTGATAGAGAGATACATAAACATTGTTCAGTTCAGATGAGAAATACAAAGTAACATTATTTATAAAAATTGTTCAGATGGGAGATAGAGAGATACAAAGTAACATTGTTTATAAACACTGATCAGATGGCAGATAGAGAGAGATACAATGTAACATTATGTATAAACATTGTACAGATGGGAGATAGAGAGATACAAAAATAACATTGTTTATAAACATTGATCAGACAGGAAATAGATACAATGTAACAGTGTTTATAAACATTGATTAGACGGGAGATAGAGAGAGACAATGTAACATTGTTCATAAACATTGTTCAGACAGGAGATAGATACAAAGTAACATTGTTTATAGACATTGATCAGAGAGATAGAGATACAAAGTAATATTATTTATAAACATTGGTCAGACAGGAGATAGATACAATGTAACATATTTTATTTTAACATATATTATTTATAAACATTGATCAGATTATAGAGAGATACATAGTACAATAGTTTATCACCATTGTACAGACAGGAAATAGAGAGATACAAAGCAACATCGTTTACAAACACTGATCAGAGAGAGATAGAGAGATATAAATTAACATTGTTTATAAACACTTCTCAGATATGAGATAAGAGATTTAAAGTAACATTGTCACTCTGTGTCATTCATCTGCAGATCAAAGGGATGAGTTATTAATATGCATATGATGTCAGTTAAGGCAACCTGACAAATATTAAAAAAAGAGTTTATTTTTTAAATTAAGTAACAAGGGATTAAAGTGGTTGCAAAGGCAGGTTTTTTAGCTTCATGCGTTCTATGCATGAAGGTAAAAACCCTGCATGCCGCAGCCCCCCCCCCCCCCCCCCCCCCCCCATACTTCAGCCCTAAATAACTCCTTCTTCCTCTTCCCTTCTAGCTATTATTTTGCTGATGATATTTTCTTTTTTAATTATTTGTTTAGCCATTACTATTACAACTTTCTTTTGTTTATATTTGTTTTCTATAATACTTTTTTTTAGTGTTGCTAAAATTGTAGGAACATATACTAAATCACTTTTAATAGCTTTGTAATACTTTGTACCAGAATTATAATTTTAGTGTCATTTTAAATAAGACAAGTTATAGAATAAAGTATATACTTTTTATCTACAGTAACACTTGTTATTTAAAACCAGCACTGAGCAAAGTAGAAAAATGTTTTTTTTAAATGTTGCGCTTTTTTTGTCTACAGATTACACAAAAATACATTTTTTGAAAAAAAAATTATTGCTGAATCAATAGGGCTATAGCAGAAATGGAAAAACTGCTTTGGTCCATAGGGGATATACAGGCGTGAGAATTGAATTGTTTAAAAACATATAGGCGTGGTGTTATACAGATTTTTTAACGCCGTTCAGCTAGTCATTTGATTTCTGCACATCTAACACAAAGCACAGCCCTGCAGGTGACATAGTTGTTTCCTAGGACAGTAATTCAGCTTCTTAAACATTATCATGATCATCACTTCCTTCTGGAAAGCAAGGAGCTAACCCAGGAGCAGAAATACTAAACCAGGAAAAAAACAGAGTGATCCTATTGATCCTACTGCCTTGACTATTGTAACT